CTTGCATGAAAGCTGTTTGAGATGGCCGGACAACATGGTCAGCTACCGAGTTTAATCTATTCGTCGCCACTTTGGTGAAAATCTTGAAGCTGACATTAAGGAGGCATATGGGTCTGAACTGTTGAATCCGTTCGGCCTCCTTAATCTTCGGCAACAAGACAATCTCGCCAAAATGAAGTCTGAATAGGTCAAGTCGGTCGGCATGAAAACAATTGAACAACTCTAAAAGGTCAGACTTGATGATATCCCAGAAATTCTGATAGAATTCAGCGGGGAAACCATCAGGGCCTGGAGCTTTGTTATGTTCCATTTGGAACACCGCAGCTCGCACCTCCTCTTCTGAGAATGGTGCTGTTAGGATATCGTTTTCTTCTGCCGTGACATGTGGAATATCATCTGTTCGGGTCTCATCAAGGGTGAAATTCCCTTCAGTCGGCGCTCCGAAAAGAGATTTGTAGTATTTGGTGATATACTTTTTGAGCTCCTCCTGACCTTCGATCCTCCCCTCATCTTTTTGGAGACTATAAATACATTTCTTCCTATGTCGCCCATTGGCGACCAATTGGAAGTATCTTGTATTACTATCACCCATTAAAATGAAGTCAGCTTTGGATCTCTGGTAGTATTTGATCTCCTCTTCTCGCAGTAGACGGGCAACCATCTCATTAGATTGATTTTTCAATTCAATCTCTTGCTGAGATAATGTGCGCGTCTCTGCAATTTTGTCGAGGTCGTCAATGATGGTACAGAGCCTTTGTTTTTCCTTTTTATAAATTCCGTTGGTGTGTTTTGCCCATCCAGAGAGGTGTCGCCTCATGGCTCTTATTTTAAAGATCCATCGCTGAATAGGTGTACGACCAACAGCGGGCCTCTCCCAAACATTCTTGATCATGTCTACGAATCCGTCCCTATGCAGCCATCCCAATTCAAATTTGAAAGGGCGCCGGGTGGCTGGGTTCGTAGAGTTAGAATCCAGAATGATGGGTGCATGATCTGATAAGGCCTCGATACGCTCTAGGGCTCGCACGGTTACCATAGGAAATTTTAGTTCCCATTCGGTATCCATTAGTACCCTATCGAGTTTCTCGTATGTCGGCACAGATCGGTTGTTTGCCCAAGTGAACTGACGACCCGACATACTGGCCTCCCGAAGATCCAAACTGTCTATCACAGCATTGAATAGGAAAGGCCAATGAGTGTCGAAGCGGTCATTATTTTTCTCTTCCTGGTACCTCAGAATGTTAAAGTCCCCTCCAATAAGCATTGGGTACGGGTTATTCTTAGCCAGGTTAACCAATTCCCGAAGGAAAGCAGATTTATGCTCATCTTGGGCAGCCCCATAGACAGCGACAAGAGTCCATGTAAAATTGTCAGCTCTATTCCGCAGGTGAAATTTTATATGAAATTCACCGATCGAAAAAGCCAACAAGTCCATGGTTGTTGTCATTATCCCAAGAAGGATTCCTCCAGATCTTCCACGAGCTGGTAGACTATGCCATGCGTAGTCGAAACCACCTGATAGGTGATCGAGGACATGCGGGCGAAAGTCACACTTGCCAGCCTCAGAAATTGCCACAAAATCCAAACCGTGTTCCCGGACACAATCAGTGATGTGTTTATGTTTAGCCAAGTCTGAAAGACCTCTGCTATTCCAAAACATGCCTCTCATGTGGAAACTCGGGTTTGTGTTGAACTCTTCGCCTTCTTGGGCGGTTTTTGTTTCTTTTTGGAGGAGTGCGATTTAGATTTCCGCGAAGACACCGTGAAGTCACAAAACATGGACCCAGGTCTTGCATCATCCAATCCAACCTCGGTAACCTCACCAACCAAGTGGGATATAAGCGGACCATCATATTTGGCATCCGCTTCATCATCCTCCTCGGTTTCGGGGTCAGATATGGTGGTTTTACATTTCGGAGAAACCTTTAAGCGGTCGATCTCCATATGTTTAAGCACCCGTACAGACAAATTAATTTCATTGTCATTATTTCCCATAGATACACCGACTTTATTTAAACTAGTAGAAATATGGTTGTCGGACAAAGAGAGAAATGACTGACCGGACGAGGTACCTGTCATGGGGTCCAAATTCCTCGAAGCCTGGAGGCGCATTGCCTTCGCAAGAGAGTGCTCATCAGTCGAGGAAGAACCATCAGCATTGAGGGAGTGACGGTTACTACGTCGCAGGGGTGTAGCCAACGCTCCGGACATAGTCCCCGTCAAAGTCTTCGACGGAGTAGTTGATGTAGTCCTCTGCAAAGCAGGTGCTGTCCGAAGCGTCCCAATGGTTGGTGAAGAGGGACGCGTCGCAGGTCCCATCGGAACGCCCGCATCAGATGCCGAAGAAGATCCTCTAGCACGATCTGTCGCTGGGCCAAGTGGCACCACGGCAACGGCAGCACGAACTGGAGACTCCATCGCTGGCAACGTCCGTGAGTCCCGCACGCCAACCGAAGCAGGAAGTGTCGCATGCGCAGCTGGAGTGAAGGCCGGCTGTAGCGGTGTCGAAGCCGGGGCAGCGTGCCCAGCGAAACATACAGAAATCGCCGCGGTTGGCTGCGCGGGTGGCCCGTGCACAACTATTGCTGCCTTCACGTGGGTAGCTGAGTCGTTTGCAGCATCCGTTGCATGCATAGTGGTGCACCTTGAGGACCTGCCCTTCTCCAACTCGTCTTGCATTGGTGTGCATGTATCCATGGACTCCTGCACCACCGGTACGTGCATGTGTGTACCCATATCCTCTCGCAGACTCACAACAGATGACTCAAGAGTATCAGTATGCACTATTCGTTGCGTAGACTGCATGGGGACCGCAGCACTTACTTGAGACCCCGACGCCGAATTTTGATCAACAGCTTGGACGCCTTTTGACCTCTTGTTAGCATCCCTATCAGGCATATCCTCATCTCGGTTAGCGCCGTCGTCATGTCCATCATCATGGTTTTCCCAAATCCGTGGAATAAAATCAACGTCAGGGACGAAATCTTCCTCCTCCAGTACAAACCGAAATGCATATCCATTAAGCTTTATATAGACATCCGAGGAGACCGAGGCTTCATCAGAACCATCTTTTTTGGTGAAAATATCCAAAGAGTGGACCGCCACCTGGATGCGCACAATACCATGACGGCGCAAGCAAACTAAGTCAACGTCTTGCGTGACGCCAATGACTGATCCTACCGCCCACAAACCAAGAAAATGGCGGAGAGGTGGTGGGACACCTGTGACATGTACCCAAACAGCTTGCAAAGGGAGAATCGATGAAACCTCTTCAACTTTCCATTCACTAAAAGCAATCTTCACATCTTGTGATTTGACATTATACTCAAAAGCTGACACGTGCTTCAAAACCTCCACGGACGGGAAACAAACTAAGAAAGCATTGTCTCCATGGGGTACGGCTTCCCACTTCCAAGATGTCTGAACTGATGCGATCTTGGCAACCTCTACCTCCACGACAGCAGCGGTCAAAGACCCACCGGAGATCGTAACCAAAGCAGTCGGCAGGGTTGGAGGTGCAAGGTGCTCCTTGAATAGCATGTCCGGTAACTGCACGAACATAGCGTTAACTAAACCACATAGCGCGCTATTTAAAATGTTTGTTCATTTGTTTGGACCAAAGTCTCTTAGCGCAAGACCTGATGTAAACGCTATAGCGAGCTGTAGCGGAGTTATAGCGGGCTATTTAAAACAGTGGTAATGACTCATGAAGCGCATCCCCAACCAGCTTCTGTCCGTGAAACGGCGTGGGTCGGTTAGGCCACAACCTCAACCAGCTCCGTCCTCCCCTGCCACCCGGTGCGCGGCTGTTTCTTCGCCGCCGATGTTGATTTAGGTATCTACAGTATTAGTCTGTACGAACCTGCTGTCTGTGTTGTACTACTAATTCTTGGTTCAGCGAACTAACCTTGTACTGAATTTCCAACAGGCCAGAGATTCAGACAGGGGTCATACACCATACAGGGCTCAAAGTGTCAAGTCTGCACACTGACGCGCGATCAGTCTGTTGCAGCTACTAATTGGCGTGCTGGATGCAGAAATTTCGACATGGTCTCTTGCTTGTCATCGTCAGCGCTTCTCGCTTGCATACAAGACAGCTTGTTTGCCGATAGCTACTGCTTCAAATTGTGTCTTCGGAGTGCTCCAAACAGATCCCAGCACGAATTAGTCCAATGAAGATACTGGATGGTGTGAGAGCGGTGCGCCGACGAGGTGGGAGTGGGAGGAGCCAGTGTGCGGGTGGAACTCCGACACAAGCCCATTGATGTCTCTGATGCTGGTCGGCGTCCGGTGGTTGCAGCCGACTTCCTGTCAGAAACTTCACCCATCTCTGGTGGCCGGCACATAGATTCCGACAGGTCAGCACAAACTGGAACCAAGATCTTTTCTCTTGAACATTTTCCTTCTTTTAGCCTTAGATTCCATGATAAACTATTGTATACTAGCATGTGAAATCAACTTATTAGTAATAAGGAAGTAAAATGGACAGTGTCCGTGGTAATGACCCTATACTAGCATGGGGAGTCAAATTATTAAAAACAAAGCAACAAAAAAAGTTGTCCACAAAATGCAAGAACAAATATTATTGTCAACTGCATAAATATAGATGGTCTTGTGACTGAATGACGGAGTTTACAAAGTTTTGTTCAACATGTGTCAAAATTAACTGGGACCAAATATACATCCAACAGCACACATGGTGAACTCTGTCACAGCAGAAAGCCACCAAATCGACATGCATGAAAGTAAACTTATGTTGCAGTACAAGTGAAAACTTGAAGGAAAAGCTTATTGGAACTTTGGAAGCACTTCACCGTCTTCACCCTAGCTGCATCAGTCTGGTACGGCATTGTATCAGGCAACAGAAATGTTGGCTACTCAAAAAACCAAATGCCAACCTGATACTGAAAGCAAGATTGAGCTAAGCTTGCAAACACGGGTACTCCAGACAAAACAACCGAGGCACCAAGGGCCTCCATCCACTTCTTCGATGGAAAACCTCAATTTCCACCAGAGACAGCAACCGCGAGCCCAGGCACTGTTTGTTTTGCAGGTTCTGTTTCTGCAAACCAACCACCAACGAAAACCAATGTGACAACTAAATACACATGCATGTAGTGTCAGTAGGAAAGGTATACGAAAGACAATAGCATTTCTAGATTCCTTTTTAATCCAAACTGAAGAAACATCTCCAACAGCCATCAGATTTCTAACATCTCAAGTAAACTTCAGAATCTTACTGCACAAGAAACAGGAACAGCCTGAATATTCAGTGTGCACTAACCACACTCCACATATCTTTAGCTGCAGGGCATAAAAAGAATCAGAATTTTCATGCTTTCATTCCCAACTCAGAGCCACACTGTCAGACTTCTCCTTGCTACTCCCTCTGTCACAAAATATAAGAACGTTTTTAACACTACACTAGTATAAAAAACGTTCTTATATTATGGGACGGAGAGAGTAGCAATTAAAACAACGCCTTTAATTAGCATCTTCCAAATCTCTAATCACGTGAATGGATTTATTTACCTCAATAATATTACTTCTAAACTTTAGCCCAATTTACTAGCTATGTCACTAAGAGAAACATTGGAATAATTTAAGACATTTGGAATGTGTACATTACCTGGGACATCCTTCGGGTTCTTGCACTTCACCCTATCAGCAGCCTTGTCCATTGAGTTGCCTTCACCAACAGTCGTAGCTCCCTTTCTTCTGTTCTCGCTCACCACCAAAAGTATAAGATCTTGATCAGCCTGATTAGTAGACTGAGTGACATGTTTCATCTGCTGATCCTCTAAACTTACTACTCCTTCCATCTCCTGTTCAAAATTTTCCTTGTTCATCGGAGGGTCCAGACAAATTTTACTTGCAAAATCCTGGAATTCAATGTTATCTGTATCTTCTTTCTCACCATCATGTTCTGGACCATCAACTTGTACTGCACAAAAAGAAATGTCACATGGGTGCGTGAAGAGGGATTATATAGAACTCAGCACCAATAATTAACCAAATTGCCAACAGTTAAGCATAATAAGATGCACAACCCTTGATTACCAGATTGTTCAGTAAAACTGGTACCGTTTGGCGCTATAACTGATAATGTCGTATCAGTAGTTGACACCGCAGGGCTCTCAGAATTCACCTCAGGTCCAATTCCCATATCAACCTCTTTGGCCGTCTTAACAAACAAGAGCTTGGGACGTCTGGGGTGATTTTTTGTTGCTTCCTTCCACTTTTGTTTTGTTTCATCGTTTACTCCATCATGGAGAGCGACCTCCTTAATACGTCGCAGGGACTGGATCGTGGTGCCGCAAAAGCCATCTAGATCCTTACATAGCAGACAGAGTGACTCGAGGAGCGGCAGAGCTCCTTCTTGGACTTCCAGCTCAGCCATGACTTCCACCACGATACATAGGCGTCGCAGGCTTCCGAGTGCACCTTTTATGATGATGAGTTTGTCCAGTTGAGATGCAATCAGCTTCAGGTACGCCAAGCAGCGCACTCTGCTCAGGGCAGCAAGAATATCCCCGCTTAGCTGATGATGAGGGGATGAAAGGCACAACTTAGTGAGACCACCCAACATGGTAACAAACGGAGGCAAGCTGCATATATTTTTCCCATGTAGCTTGACTGAGCTAAGATAGCAACTTGGTGAGGAATCTTGATTTTCCAGGGAGAAATCCAGCAAGTCTTGGGACCATTCGTTAGCGAAATTCAGTGAGAGTGAATGAGCTTTTTTCAAGTCAGTACTTCTCTTGATAAACCCCTTAATGGCCTCAGATAGACGATTCAAGTTGCTGTGCCTGGCCATGGGATCGGTACTATTATTAGTGGACTGCTCGCGCCATATTTTCACCTTTGTCAAATGTTTCATATGCTCCATGAGCTGTGCAAATCCGTGGCTATTGTTGTCGTTGTCCACAACAAATCCTGCTATAGTTTCCAATTTGCAATTGTCCGAAGACCAAGTCTGTAATTTGAGCATTCTCCGGCCTCCTACACCTTGTTGGAGCTTGAACTTTCCAAACAGATGAATCAGGCATGGCAGCTTTATGACTTGTGTTGGCAGAATCTCTATCCATGTTTTTCTTAAATCCAGTGTCTCCAAGAACCGAAGCTTCTTGATCTCCTCTGGAAGTGCCTTAACAGCGCCCCCGAGGCTTAGGTACTTGAGGAGCAACAGGTTGCTGCATATCTCTTTAAGGTGCTTGTCCTCCAACTGATTACCACATTCTTCTAGATCCAAAACTCGCAGCAGTTCATACTTTGAAAAATCCAGGACCGATTTGTGCGTGTTGCCAAAAACTGTTAGAGACCGAACAAGAGATAGATCATTGGCTGCTAAGCTGGCACTTGCATCATGCATGGAAAGCCAACGGATTTTACTGGTTGGTGTTGGGGGTGGCAGCTGATCATATAACAAGGTGATGAAGTTATCACACTTGGACAGGTGCAGGATGAACTCAAGCATCATGCCATGAGTATGGTATGTCTTCATCTCTGTGCTATTTTTGCTCTTGTTAGCATCTTGATCTGTAGGCTGGATGATACTCCGGTTGACTAGCTCATTGAAATTGCCGAGAGCGGCATCTCTGGTGCTACATATATAATCTTCTTGGATAAACCCTTCAGCTAACCATTTCCTTATCAGGCTTCTTTTTCTAACTGCACGACCACTTGGGTAGATACCTAAATATAGCAGGCATGTCTTGATATCATGTTTAACAAGACTGGTGTAGCTACGGACAAGCACATGTTTCATTCTTGCTAACATCTCATTTGTTTCCAGATGTGCTCCAAGGTTGTGGCACAATTTCGCCCAGTTTTCCCGCGTTGGATTATCTGTGCTTTGCAAGTACCGGGCTGTGGTAACAAGAGCAAGGGGTAGACCGTCGCACTTCTTCAGAGCTTCCGAGCCAAGCTGATCTTCTCGATCGTCGTCTTGGCCCAAAGCTTCCTTGTAGAACAACTGTCTTGAGTATTTCTCGGTAAGAGTTCTCATTACGTACACATGACCATGAGCAGAGCTGCTGCATGCATTTGCTACTGACTGAATGGTTGTCGTCACCATAATTCTGCCGCTCAACCCCTCAAAGGCATCTTTTATAGCGTGCCAGAATTCTGTCCGCGCATCATCAATTACAATGAAGAACCTACAAGATACAAGGAGTACATGATCAAATTTAACATGGGGACTGGAGAGATATCGAGTGAAAACTAAAATTAAGACGAACATTTATTCTGTGCCAACAAAGATACTAAGAGGCAATGCTGTGTAGTTTTGGATCACATATTTTGTAATGCATAAAGACTAAGAGTTAGTTAGTCTATGTACGCTTTGATTTCGCCATTCACTTTATTTTTTCAATCAGATAGGTAGCAAGAAAAGAACACCGTTGTGTTCTTAAGCGGCATTTTTTGAAGAATGACAAGCCAATTCGGTTGTGGTTGAGGCAATATTTACAACTCTGTGTGTGTGCGCAAGCGTGCATGCCCGTCAAGTAACACTGGTTCAATCAAGGATGTGTGGTTTTCTTAAGTTATATCTGAAGAATGATGAGCCAATTTGGTTGATGGTGAGACAATACTTATGACTCCATGTGTAATAACATGGTTTAGAATGAAAACAATGACCAGGACCATCTCCAGAGCACATTCCCATTTGCCTAGCATCTGCCAATTGCAAATTTGCAATCAACGATCCTTACTGGATGAGCATTTGGATGCTGTCTCGTATGCAGGATCCTCTTTTGGCTAGGGCCATGAGTTTTGGTTCTACATCTCCATGCATGTTGAGAATAAGAACTACATTTCATTTGTCCCATGTTTTTTATAAATTCCTACAACATTACTATATTATCGTATTTGATAGTGTGCATTAATGTATCTACCAATTTTTTTGTCGATTGAGTATGTTACTAATAGTGTGAACTATTCTTATGCAACCAATGGCTCGAGCTTGCTCATATTGCCAATAATATATCCTACCTGTGGTGCTTGGGGCAAACTGTATGACTCAAGGGGCTCAAGGCAGTCTAGCAATATGTGATGTTATACTTTAGCGCAGGTAACAACACTACAACAGTAGAGTTTGAAATTTATTTTCTTTTATGATCTCGACAATTTCTAGCTTGCTGCCCTTAATAATTCCGCTTAGTGTGTGTATCTCAGATGCTAGTCCGATCTCTATTTTCTATGTTGCTTGGTTGCCACATTATTTTCTTCAAATCAACATACAATTTTTTCACATCTATTTTTGAGAATTCTGGACAGCATCCATTGCAAACAGAGGTAAACTTTTACTTAACCTAGTCGTTTTTATATACTCTGACACGGTGTGTGCTCTTTCCTTTGTGTTATTGAATCTGCTGTACACTTGAAGTCGTGTTTGGTGTGTGCGCCAAATAACTCTGACCTAGAGGAATTAAGTCAGTAGGGTTAATTTTGTAGCTAGTAGTAGTCAGTTAGCTCTATCAGTATCTTAGCTTATACGTACAAGCAAAGCCACTAAGGCGGTAAGATGTTCTCTCTGTTCGGTTGCCATTCCCAGCATCCGGCCCCCTTTTTAACATTTCTTCTTTTCCTTTTGTAACATCTTCTCACTATATGAATGAAAAATAGCACTATGGTGTCTTTTTCGTTAAAAATATTGTATAAAAATCATAGTAGAAGACTAGCTGTAGCTTACAGCAGCCCAAAACAGAGTCCAGATTGAGTTTACCTGTGCTCTTTGTACCAACATCTTAAAATTATGGAAATACCATTAGCTTTATTTTAGGACCAAAGGCAATACCCTAACCTGCCCAGGGATAGGAGTGAATTTACCGCATGCTCAAATCCTATGAATAAAGAGCCACTTCGGACTTTGTAGTTGCAAAGGGCAACTCTCTGGTCACCTCGCTAAAGTATACACTTCTCCCCACTTCAGGAAAATTTGGCCGAGTGCTGGGCAAATAACTACTCCCTCCGACTTATATTTAGGAACGGAGGGAGTATAAGATAACTATTTCTAAGTCACCACTAAGAAGCACCTGATCAAACACAAGATTTGTGCAAGCCACAAAGAGGATGCGAAGATCTTAGTCAGACACGTATGAATATTGACTGAGAATTAACTATCTGAGAAAATTACCAATGGTTGGAAACAAATAGCTTAAATTTTTACCTCTTGGTCCCAAGGTGTGATCTCAGGATTTCGCAGGGGTTGCTGGGACGACCTCCGCCGTTGGTGGATGTGGTGATGCCAAGTTTTTGGATTATCTCTTTGAGAACATCTGTTGGACGCCCTTGCTCTGTGGCACAAACCCAAGCACGCGCTTGGTATTGGCTCATACTGTCATATACATGTCTGGCAAGGAGAGTCTTGCCTATGCCATTGAAGCCCACAATGGAGATCACCTTGAGCTCCTCCTCCTCCATCTGGATCAGCTCCATAAGCTCGTCCCGTTGCGTGTCCATACCCACGGGGCTGCGAGCAGAAAGTGAGTCGTCTATCCCCATCTCTATCCTCTCAGATGCCACCGATGGCGACGGCGATGAGATATCATAAGTTGTTCTCAGCTTGGATGACCCCTCTGATATCTTCTTCAGCTTACCGATTGCCTTGGCAAACGCATCACGGGCCCTCATCGTCTTCAACTTGTGGATTGATGACTTACTGGATATCGCCACGCGGGGCGCGAAGCGGTCGATGCAGTCTTCGATGGCGTGTGCCGAGTTGCGTATGATTTGGATCCACGCCCTCTGCACGTGGTCCGCGCTACTCCAGCGACGGTCATCGTCTTGCTGAATGATGGCAGAGATCAACGCAAACTCGTTTCTGATGTAGATGATGTCATGCTCGAGGTCGTGCCGAAGCTTGCGATTTGCAGCTAAGAAATCGAAGAGCTTCGGCGCAATCCTACCCACAAAAGCGGTGGCCGCCGCAGCCTCCATCTCCCTCTATCGCTCACTCTGGTTGGAAGATGAGATCTTGGAATTTCGTGGATACATCGAAGGATGTGGGGATGGCGACTGTATGCTGCTGAATGATGAAAGCTGTCCCAAAGCAAGACTGAAACAAGTCCCCCGACAACTTTGGCCACAGTGCACTGACAGCAAAGATAAAGGCATGTGGGGGACGAACCACAGCCCACGGGATGCTCGGCTCTATCTTGTTTGTCCATTAGCCTAAAGGTATGGGGCAGGCTCGAGGATTGTACAGTTGAAAAAGTTGCAATATACTCCCTCCGTTTTCATAATTCTTGTCGGTAATAATGAACTGTCTCGTTGTAAAGACATTTGTGCAGCAATGATGCTCTACTCCAACGGCTGCCCAAAAAAATTTGGTGCTCTAAAAATGATTTTGTATGGACGGGTTTTTTTTTCTGACATCAATATTTTTTAATGCCTTTTCAGCACTTTTAATTCTGGTGCTCTATAATTCGAAACATGAACATATCACATAAAACTCATTTCATATTTTGCAAACAACTACCCTATTACATGCTAATGCTACAAAAAACTACCACTTTTCTTTTCTTTTCTTTTTTTCAATATGTACCACAAAATTGGTTCGTTGTTCCAAAAAAAAAAAACCAAATGACCAAATTGTTTAGAATTGATCCGTTTTATGATAGATTGGGCCCGCTCCTAGCTAAACTGTCTGTTGACTATTTTTTTGACCGTTAACTAACATGCGGGCCCACATGTCAGCTCTTTCTTCCTTCTTTTATCTTCTCTCCGAGAGCACAAGGGCCGGCCACAAGGCTGTGGCTGCCCCAGTGGTGTGCAGCAGCGGCAAGCGCCGGCGAGCAGTAGCAGCTGCCGCAGCGGCGGCGGTAGCATGTTGCAGCGGGGAGCAGGGGCGGCAGCGGCGGCAGGGAGCAGCGCCGGCAAGCAGCAGCAGCATGCAGCTTCCGGTCATGGCGATGTGTGACGAGAGCAAGGTAGAGCACAGGGACCCGATTGCTTTTTTCGAAAATTGACAGGACCTGATTACTTTTTTTACAAAACTTACAAGGACAATTTTGCTTTTTTTGTAGGGACCGACATGTGGGCTCCACATGTCATAATGGTCAAGTAACAGTCAAACATAACGGTGACCTGACAAGTGGACCCCCTCTGTCATAAACACGATTAAAACTTAACGCTTCAGCAACTAGGGTTTTTTTAACAGCAAACCAATTTTGTGGTAGATTTTTGAAAATTTAAAAAAAATGGTAGTTTTTTGTCGCACTAGCCTGCAATGTGGTAGTTTTTTTGCTACATACTCCATAATTCGCATACCCCTAGCATTACATTACGATAGACCTAGCATAGTAGTCGTTGAAGTCATCATCGTCGGAGATGTCCATCACCCCGGGGTGGCATAGGACCGGTGGTAGACCTACTCCATGGCTTCATGTCCTCCTCATTTGCCAACATCTTGTGCTCATGTTCAAGCTCCTCCAATTTCTTGCACTCCGCCTCCTTTGGCTCAAAGAATGCAATTTTGTTGATGAGGAGTTGCAGATCAGACTCGACAAGGTTCGTCTTCTTCCTCCTTTCCTTCTTCTTCTATGACTGTAAGCAAGAGTCAGCCTGTTAGCCATGGGGTGGCCCAAGCCTATGAGTTGGCCTACGTCGTACACTTGGGTGAGTCATCAACTTAATGCATAAGACAAGCATGTTCCTGCATCCGAGCCGGATTCGTGTAAAAACCCTAGGCTTGTCCCCCAATATAAGGAAAGGCAAGGACCTCCCGGGCGGCTCTCTTCGACCTCATAACATACGCGATTATACGATAGACAATCCTTGTACATGTAAACCCAGTTCTCATATGAGGCTAGATCCATATTATACAATCAAGCAAGAGTATGATATTATCTCGATTGTGAGGGCCCGAACCTAGGTAAAACATTAACTCGCATGCATCCCATCCAGGTTACCAGCTGCGTGCAACACCCCATCATAATTATAGTCAAGAATTTACCACAACACCCCTCTTAGCATCCCTAGTGGGTGGGTCCACCATGCGTGGGTAGGTGAGCTCTGGTCAGTCCATCATGGAGGAAGGAGGTGCACGGAGCCCACGAAAACAGAGCGATTATATGGGTCGGACGTGTTTAGTGATCCAATGCGGGCTTGTATCGGATTGTCGAGCGGTTCGGACATACTTTTTTCGCAAACCCAAGACAAATTGGAGGGGGGGGGGGCTTTGCGGGATTCCAGACAACAACCACGTAGGACTCTGACATGCCTGGCCCACTTATAACCTCTCCCGGACCCGCGCCTCCATCCTCCCATTTTCTCTCCTTCAATTTTTCTCTCTTGCCTTCGCTGTCGCTCCACCACCCCTGCCACTCCGCCACACCCCTGTCAGAACTCAACGAGTCCGCCACCTCCAACGGTACACCCGGGCTCCATACTGCTTCTCCTCCGGCAACTGTTTGGTGAAATGCCCATTCTAAAATATATTTATCGCTTCTTCTTTGAAGCAACGGATTTTGATATGGAGTACATATACGAGCACTATGTTGAGTCATCCAACGGCTCGTCCGACGAGGTGGACTACACGGATGAGATGGCGATGATGCAGGCGGTCCTTACAGTTGCAGAGCATGCGTAAGAGCATGTTCTCAATTTCATCGACAATGGTCATCCAGTGCTCAACCGCAACAAGCGCAGCCATTTGGCATTGATGGACGACTACTTTGCCCCCTATGTCCCCTTCCCTAACAATTTTTGTTGGCACTTTCAGATATGCAAAAAATGTCTTCAATCATCTCTACCATGGTGTCTAGTCCTTTGATGACTACTTCATCTTCAAGAAGGACACCATGGGAAGGATTGGGTTCTCCGGTTACCAGATATGCACGGCCGCACTGCGGATTCCTGTATATGGCACGGCTGCTGATTCGTGGGACGAGTACCTACTGATGTCTTAGAGCACATACAAAAATGCCATGGTCAGGTTTGAACTTGCCGTGGTCGAGGCGTTTGGACCTTAGTGAAGGAAATGTGCCCTAGAGGCAATAATAAAGTTGTTATTTTTATATTTCCTTATTCATAATAAAGGTTTATTATTCATCCTAGAATTATATTGATCGGAAACTTAAATACATGTGTGGATACATAAACAAATACTGTGTCCCTGGTAAGCCTCTACTAGACTAGCTCGTTGATCAAAGATGGTTAAGGTTTTCTAACCATAGACATGTGTTTTCACTTGATAACAGGATCACATCGTTAGGAGAATGATGTGATGGACAAGACCCATCCGTTAGCTTAGCATATGATCGTTTAGTTTATTGCTATTGCTTTCTTAATGTCAAATACATATTCCTTCGACTATGAGATCATGCAACTCCCGGATACCGGAGGAATACCTTGTGTGCTATCAAACGTCACAACATAACTGGGTGATCATAAAGATGCTCTATTGGTATCTCCGAAGGTGTCTGTTGAGTTGGCATGGATCGAGGTTAGGATTTGTCACTCTGAGTATTGGAGAGGTATCTCTGGGCTCTCTCAGTAATACACATGATAAGAAGCTTGCAAGCAAAGTGACTAAGGAGTTAGTTATGAGATGATGTATTACGGGATGAGTAAAGAGACTTGCGGGTAACGATATTGAACTAGGTATGAAGATACTGACGATCGAATCTCGGGCAAGTAACATACCGACATACAAAGGGAATTACGTGTGTTGTCATAAGGTTCCACCGAGAAAGATCTTCGTAGAATATGTAGGAACCAATACGGGCATCCAGGTTCCGCTATTGGTTGTTGACCAGAGAGGTGTCTCGGTCATGTCTACATAGTTTTCGAACCTGTAGGGTCCGCACGCTTAACGTTCGTTGACGATATAGTATTATATGAGTTATATGATTTCGTGACCGAATATTGTTCGGAGTCCCGGATGAGATCACGGACATGATGAGGAGCTCTGGAATGGTCCGGAGGTAAAGATTGATATATAGGATGATGATATTTGAACACCGGAAGAGTTTCGGGAGGTACCGGGTAGTCATCGGATCACCAAAAGGGGTTCCGGGAAGCCCCGTGAGGTATATGGGCCTTGTGGGCCAAGAGGGAGGAACACACCAGCCCACAAGGGGCTAGCGCGCCCCTTCCCTTGGCCGTCGGCCCTAGGGATGGAAAGGGGGGAGGGCTAGTCCCTCTTTCCTTCCCTCCACAAGAGGGAAGGGGGGCGCCACGTCCTCCTGCCTTCCCCCCGCGGGCAAATAAGGAAGGGGAGCACGGCTGGGGGCAGGAGCCCAAGGAGGATTCGGTCTCCTTGCGGAGATAGCATCACATTCAGCACTTCGTCGTGCTACTGGAACTCATCTACTACTTCGTCCGTCTTGCTGGATCAAGAAGGCGAGGACGTCACCGAGCTGAACGTGTGCTGAACACGGAGATGTCGTATGTTCGGTACTTGATCGGTTGGATCGTGAAGAAGTTCGACTACATCAACCGCGTTACTAAATGCTTCCGGTTACGATCTACGAGGGTACGTAGACACACTCTTCCCTCTCGTTGCTATGCATCTCCATGGATAGATCTTGCGTGTGCGTAATTTATTTTTTCCATGCAACGTTTCCCAACACTTAGTACCTGAGAGAACCAACTGCCGCTGACATCGAGATGATCAATCTCAAAAGCAAGAGGGTGGCCAGGTTTGCTCAATTCTCTTGACTGCATGCATTCGAAATGGAGGAACTGCCCAAAAGCTTTACAAGGGCAATATCGGGGTTATTTAAGAAGCCCACCATCATTCTTGAAGCAGCTGCATCGTATGATCTTTGGATTTGGCACACTTTCTTTGGCATACCCGGGTCTCACAATGACATCAGTGTGTTATAACGATCATCGTTGTTTGCTAGGCTGACTGAAGAAAAAACTCATCCTTGCCACTATATTGTCAATGAGTATGAATACAACATGAACTACTATCTGGTTGATGGTATCTATCCTTTGCCAACACCATCTCTAACCCAATTGGCTAGAAAAAGGCCCACTTTGCCCAAAAATAAGAAGCAGCTAGAAAGGATGTTGAGAGGACACTTGGAGTTCTGCAGGCACGTTTTGCAGTTGTTTGTGGACCTACTAAACAATGGGATCTAGAGACCTCGTGGGAGGTCATGCCTTGTTGTGTGGCCAGGCACAAAATTGTGGGGGATGAGGGTGAGGATGTTGTCGCAGCTCTTGAATTTGAGAATATGGGCGATCAAATATAATTTCCAAACCAGAATCGGACCACATTTGAAGAGTTTGTTCAAATGCACCAACAAATGGCATCGAGCAAATCACGAGCAACCGAAGAAAGATCTGATTGAGTATCTGTGAACGGTTAAAAAGGACAACAACGTTGGAGTGTAATATTTATTTATTTTTTAAAAAATTAGAATTACTCTGCTGCATTTGAACATTTAACTATTCTAGCTAAACTGAAACTGTATATGCAGTTATTTGAGCATGCGGTCTTTACAAAAAAAAAAAATTAAAGCTCGGATGTTTGCGGATAGCTTTGGATGGCCAGCTCTCATATCCGTGTCCATGGACTTGTCCCCCGTCGGCGAACCAATGCCATTGCCATTTTTGGGTCGTCGGAGATATCGTTAGCTTGTAAAAACGTCTTATATCCTAGGAATAAGAGAGAGGGAGTAGTATTTTTTTTTTCTTTTTGTTAAGGCGGCACCAATTATCGCCACGGCGGACCGCGCCTGCTGCAGGAGTGACCCACTCATCACATGGTCGAACATAGAAGTGGGCCTTTTGCCAGTACGCTCACAGACCCGTGTGATACGTAAACCTTTTTCTCCAGTCTCCGCCCGCGGTCTTCATTCATAATAAAGGAACGCACCACGTGGTCGAACAGTGGAGTCGAGCAGTGTAAGACATTGCCACTACAGAAGCAGCACTCACCCGTCTTCCTCCATTATTGTCGGCACAGACACAGCCTCCCTCCACCCCCACCCTTCCCGTCAGGTTCTTCTCCGGCGAGGGCGCCACTTCCACCCGCACCCACCTTGGTCGCACGGTGCTTTTGTAACCCAAGGCGGCCATCCTCTACGTCGAGCGAGCTCCGGGGCTGGCAGAGAAAGGTAATACCCTTGTCAGTGTCAGTGCTACATTCCGCCATAGATCTTTTTTCGACAAAGGATGTCTTTATTTGACTCATAATGTAGCATCTAGGGATATTCCGCCATAGATCTAAGCACGGGAGCTCCGATCCGTCCAATATTATGCCAATAAATGAAAGAAAAAGGAAACGCCCGTCTCCCTCTTTTAGACTTTGCTGAGAAGATCGGTAGGCTAATTAACAACATTAATTAATTATGTACGGCTCAGGAGAATAGCATAGCACGCAGTACTAACCTGTACTCTGTCCTGTCATTCTTAGATCATGAGCGTGTCCCCAACCGAGATGACGGATAGTGAGAAACTTGCGGCCCTGGAGAAGGCATTGCTCGACGAGAGCGCGGGTCCAATCGATCTACCTATCTCTCTGCTCAAGACCATCACAGGAAATTTCTCTAAAGCCCGCGAAATCGGCCAGGGCTCCTATGGAGTGGTCTACAAGGTACGCAAG